AGCCCATGGAATTAATAGTCCCTTTGTCTCCTGGTGGCCCAGCTGGCTCCCTTCTCTCCTCCCACTGGTAAAGAATTCTTTAATATGGGTTTGGTGAGACTTCGTGTGGGTGTGTACACTACTGTGCTGTTTGGATCTAGGAGGGAAGCAGCCCTACCTACACGAGAATGCTGTTCTAAACATATGTACGCAACTCCAGAGTGCTGCGTGTTTGATGGACACGCTTGATGCCTACACGTTAATTAATTAAGGACTCGCCTCACCTCTTGGTCCAAATAGATTTATGGAACATGGTTTTAATGACCAGATTTGTTTTTGCCAGAGGACTACCAAATTTTAAATATTACTTTTATGTCTTCCTTTCAAAGTAGATTAGAACTTAAAATTCAATTGAACAAGATGTCACAAAAAATTCAGCTCAGCAAATATTTACAGAATTATCTGCTGGCCCACAGGGTAAGATAAACATGTTCCATGAATATTTTACTTTCTGACTGAAAAGTTATTCATAATCATACAACTACAACACAGAGTGGGTCAAGTGCCACAGCTGGAGAACTGTGGGAAGAAAAGTTGGAGGGTGCCTTGGAAGTTGGAGGAACTGCAATGTCCAATGGGAGGAATGGAAGTCCTGAATGTTGCCAAAAGCCCAGATAAGATAAGGGCTGTAAAGGTCACTGGTGACACTGGTGAGTGTGCTGTGAGGGTGGAAGCCCATGTGCTGGGTACTGAAATGTGGCCGGGAAGTGGGCAGATGGAGGTGACAGAGGGAAACTCTCTAGGTTCAGCAGTTGGCAAGAGAAAGGGGACTGAAGGGTCAGGCAGAATTGACAGAGGCTTGTGTCTTCTCCGGGATGGTAGGGCAGGTTGAAACTGGTGGAATGACTCCTCAGAAAGAAAGAAGTTGAAGCAATGAGGGAAAAGAAAATCAATAACACGAGGTCCTCAAGGCAGGTTTGGTCTGCAGGGTGAGGTCGGGGGAGTCAGGCTTACACAGAACAGGACAGCTTCTCCACTGAGCAGGAAGAAAGAGGGAAAAACAGGTGTGTATATAGTTTGTTCTAGATTTGAAGGCAAGGAGTTTTTATCTAATTTTTCAAGTTTTTTTTTTCCTTTGGGTTGAGGGAGGTATCCTGTTCATTTGCTAGGAGAGCAGGATGAGGTCTGAGGTTTGACAAGTGAAATGGAGTCTACAATGGCCACAGTGGAGAGTGAGAGAGAGAACCAACCAAAGAATAAAAAAGATAGCTGATTATGGCATCAACTGGAAAGGCTGATAGTCCGCCGCCCCCCTAGTGTCCAACATGTTGCATATGCAAGAAAGGAGACGGGTCTGAAACTGCGAACCTTTGAATGGATGATTCCAGGATCCAGCAGTGTCTAGGAACTGACTAGGGGCAGGTGGCTATGGTGGGGCAGGGGTGAGGGTGTGTGTTGATGGGAACTAAAGGTACCAAGGGCTGGGGCTTCTGCTGGGTCATCAACCAGATCTGAGTGGGTATGTTCAGTCACAGCATACAGGAATCCCTGGTGTTCCTTCCACCTCAGGATGCAGCAGTGCCCCAAGACTTTCTTCCCTGGGGTGCTGGTTCCTGCTGCCTTTGTCACTGCCCAGCAAATACTATCTTTATTTCTACTGAAGTTTTAGGTAACCAACAAGGGAGTATCATGTTGATGAGACCAAAAGAATATACTTTTAGAAAGTGAGAATGCCTTCCTCTGACTCTTCACTTCTAACCTCTGCCACTGCCTTACGTCCATTTGGAGAGTGTCATCCACCTGCATATGAACAGACAAATATATATCTCTGGCTCTTTTATAATCATGAATGTGTGTCACCACCCTGAGCATGACAACATTTCCTTGACTGGGTACCACTAGGCCAGCTCCTATTTCCTCAGGCTCCTACCTACACCATTTTACAGGCAGGGAGGAGAAACATGCAGACAGTCACTAATTCTTCCTGTATTCATCCCAACCACCTTGCACTGAAAGAGGCTTGCATTTTGATTGTGCTAGTGCCCTTGTATTCTAATTTATAGAGTATGTGGTCTTCTGAATTAGGAGAATCATGCCACAACTTTACATTTTTTAAAAATGATGCTACAACAACAGCATTTCCTATAGTCTAAAAATGCTCCTTCTCCACTGATCACTCCAGCAGTCACAAGTCCACTTTAGCAAACTTAAAGATGCTTAAGATACTTAACCCATTTCATTTCTTTTTTTACCTCCAAATTCTTTCCATAACATTTTGGTCTCTTCCTCCCACCCTTCTTCCTTAATCAGAATGTGAGTTGAGGTATCACATGCTTCACTAGTGCTGGATCTGCAACAGTGTGATGGTTTCTATTTTCATCTTTTCACTTTCAGCCACACATGTGCTGCCAAGGATGTGCCCTTTCTTCATACCCTGGTGGCTTTTCCCTGCCTGGTGCTTTTCCTGGTATTAAGTCATTTGTTAATGCCAAATTTTTAACAGTGGCTGTCCTTGAATGGTGGGATTATAAATGTTTATAATTTTCTAAATAAAGAAGAATACCATAATCATATTTTTTATAATAAAAAAATGAATGACGTCATTGTTTAATATATAAAAGTAATTGTTTTCTGAAGCAAAGATTTCTGCATGCCAAAGTCAGATGTGAATACTTTTTTTTTTTTTGAGTCTTGGTCTCACTCTGAATCCCTGGCTGGAGTTTGGTGTGCTCACCACAGCTTTGACCTCCTGGGCTCAGATAATCCTTCTGCCTCAGTCTCCCAAGTAGCTAGGCCTACAGGCATGCGCCATTATGCCTGGCTAATATTTTCATTTTTCTGTAGAGACGAGGTATTACTATGTTGCCCAGGCTGGTCTTGAACTCCTGGGCTCAAGGAATCCTCCCACCTTGGCCTCCTGAAGTGCTGGGATTGCAGGTGTGAGTCACCATACCAGGCCAAGATGTGAATAATTTTTAAAATATGCTTTGCCTTGAGTTTTCCAGATCTGTCCATAACATAGATTCCCCCCCCGCCCCGCCCCAGATTCTAAACATATGTAACTGACCAAATTCTGATATCTTTTAGAGGAGTAATAATCTTAAAATATTCACTTTAGAAAAATCTTAGGGCATAGTGAAGGGAAAAGGAAAAATCTATCCAATTCCTTTATCTGTCAAAATGCAAGTCTTTACCTAGGGGCTTGCATTTATTAGGAGGGGTGAAAGTGTAGGTCACCGAGAGGTCATTTCAGGGAAAGGCCCTGCAGATGATTTCCTCACTTCAAACAGGTGCTATAATGTGTTGCTCAAGTACAGCTTGTGATCGCAGAGTACAAACTCAGGGAGGCCACAAATGCCAATTGGTACAAATAAAATACCTAAAAGGGAGGGCACTTCTTTCACGTCATGGAAGCAGAAAATCCTTAAGAAATAACAAAAAAATCTACTTCCCACACTAGAGTGCAGGCAGGATAAAAAGAAATGCAGAAATGACAAGCAGCTGAGAAAGCATAGAACTCACTCTGGTTTCTGGGAGAGCTGTGAGAGAAGGCATTTGACCTTCCTCAGCTCATCACACACAAGTGAAGATTTCCAGCAGGTCATTTTGAAACTTGTCATTCAGAAACTGAGAGGCTAAAAATACTGCACTGTTACCCAGGCCCTTGAACCTCCAGATGACGTGGACAGGACTTTTTTTTTTTTACATGTGTCAGTAATGGCTATCAAGAGAGGTTGGAGAGAGGGGAAAACATATTGTTAGCCAACTCCTTTGGCCCATGGAACTAACAACGCAAGATTTCTTACAGAGCCACGCCACTCAGTGTGGCCTTCTGACATTGGCATCCCCTCGAAGTTTTTCTGAAATGCAGAATATGGAGCCTCAGACACAATGAAGGGAAATCTGCATTTCAACAAGGCCCCCAGGTGATGCATGTATATGAAAAAGTTGGTATGATAGGTATGGAACACAAAAGCCACATTTTAATCACTTTTAAATTTTTCTGCTTCATGCCTGTTTTCAAACATATTAAAAGTAAAATTCTTCACTGTGGCAAAAAGATTCATCCTCCAGCTAAAATCTGTGTGTGTGTGTGTGTGTGTGTGTGTGTGTGTGTGTATCCATGTGTCTTTCTCCCAGTTAAGGTAGTCAGAAATAACCTGACATAATTTTTTTTTCAAACCTAGTTTACAAACGCAAGCATTTTTCAGCTGTCCCAGTTTTCTAAATTCCTTATAGCTTCTTGTAATTCTAAGCAAATTTTATTTTTAAACAGGGATATTATTTACCACACACTTGGATTTTTTTTTGGGGGGGGGACTTGTAAAAGTTTTCCTTTCTACCTGTTTACATTTTCTGGAAAAAATAATTTTTCCTCTATATTTATTCTCTTGAAGTTACTAGGGATAACTCTAACCATGTTTTTTTAAAATCTCAACAATTTTATTATTGACATGGGGGATGGTATTTTGGTTTCTAGGCTGCAAGTGTGGTGGTAATGTGCTAAATGTCTAAGAATTCACCCATGAGAATGTGACCTATCTGAACATGAAAGGAGTTCAGGTGGCACAGATTCCATCATCCTGGGCAGGGCCATCCTGACCTTAAGAAAATTATTCTTCATCAATGAATGACCAGACTCCAGTCCCACAGATTACATCATGGACTTAACAGTACCTGGTAAACATGCACATCAATCTACCCTTGACCTTGGAAGGAAAAAAAGACAGAGTACTTTGAGGGAACTCGAAGTACTTACAGATAAATTCAAAATAACTTTTTTTTTTTTAAGTGAGAAAGGAGCTTTTCTGTTCTCTCAATAAGAGAGAACAGAAAAGCTCCCACAGGGGGAGGAGACCCGAGGGGGGTTGTCCTCAAAATAACATTTCAAGTGCTTTTGTGATTTTCATTGCTGAAGAAAGTTTTAAGTTCCTATAAACATTTGGATTAAGCAAAAGAAAGAAGCAGAAGGAATTTAAAGCTGGTTCTAGGTAGGTTCCTCTTTGAAAGTTCGCTCTTACCTGATTGTCGAATTCGTTGAAGAGTTTGCTGGACCAAAACCTCTGATCTTGGGACTATGATGATGAAGTCCACTTTGCTGAAGTGACCAAGGTCTAGGCTCTGGCTACCACTGTCCGCTATAGCACACACCTGGGATAAGAGTTTTCTGGCAACTGTTAGCTGCGGTTGATAAATTTGGAAGATTTCGTTATCTAAATCTAAAATTAAAAAAAGTCACAAGATTAATTTATATCTGTGATGGCCACTCTGAATCCATATGAAGATGTAACACACACATGGTAAAGTAATGCTCTGTCATCAAGAATTCTCACTTGCTATTCTAGCAATTGAGTTTTAATAGATTTGCCTATTTCCCCTTAAAACCTGGCTGAGAGGATATGCTCAGGAGTGATGTGGCAGTTTTACAACTATATTATTTCAAAATCAATTGATTGTCTCACAACAAGACCCAGACGCACACCCAGACCCATAAATGGAGGACACAGACTACACCCTTGCAGCTGGAGCCAGGGGAGAGTTTTCAGTTGTCTTTAGGAATATCAGGTCAGTACCTGAGCCCAGTCAGTTCAGGGAAGGAGGCAATGCTGTTACTATAATGATGCTGAGTTCCTTTTAGCTTTTCTGGATGGTATTTCAGTAAACATTTCCTCTTTAGCAAGTCAGTTGCAACATGGTCTGAAATATCCCTCCCAGCAACTATATAACGTGGGTCACAGAGACACGACCTTCACCTTTCTTCCCACTTGATTCCACTTGCCAGTACTGTGACCTGGCAGGACTAGGTGGTTGTGGTCAGCTTCAGTGCTGACGCCTGGACTATCTGAAGAGACCTGACTCATGATATAGCCAGCTGGCCAGTCAACAGGTGACGTATTATGAAAACACTGCCCAGATACTCTAAACATGTCAGTAGATTTTTACTGCAAGTATAATCAGGCTATCAATCTCTCTTATACACGTGTGCACATCCACACACACAAACAGTGAAAGAAAAAAGTTTTGTCAGCTAAGCACCTGAGCGGGCAACACCTAATCTATCTTTAAGGAGCTACTTTTTTTTTTTTTGAGTTGGAGTCTCACTCTGTCACCCAGGCTGGAGTGCAGTGGCATGCTCCCAGCCACTGCAGCCTCGACCTGCTGGGCTCCGGCGATCCTTCCACCTCAGCCTTCCAAGTAGCTGGAGCTACAGGCACGCTACCACACCTGGCTAATTTTTTGATTTATTGTAGAGATGAGGTCTCGCCAAGTTGCCCAGGCGGGTCTCAAACCTGCGGGTCAGGCAATCTGCTCACCTCAGCCTCCCAAAGCGCGGGATTACAGGCTGAGCCACCAAGCCCGGCTAAAGAGCTGCTTTTTATGAGGAACACATGTAGCAGCTTGACTGCAGTAGGGACTAACTAACCTGTGCTAATTAACGTTTTCTAAAATTAAACTACAATGCAGATGAGGCAAAGACAGTAGTCAAAATACCCAGTAACCACGGACACTGACAGCAAGTGGAGATACATATAGATGGTCTTCCTACTGCTGAGAGAGCCCACTGGGAAAGTCTGAAAATGTACAAATAGTTTTTGTACCACAAAGACCACCAGTCAAAATAAATCTGTCTTTTGATACAGTTAGGTTGTTATTGCCTTCATTTCACAGGTTGGATAGGTGGGGACTACACATATACATAAATTTGTAGAATTTTACTTAGCAAGTTTTGAAGTTTGAGAAAATATAGCAATATCTTTTAAACAATTTCTTACACAGAGAACAGTGAAGGAATTTTAAACAGTTTCTTACACAGGGAACCAAGGATATACTTGGGAATCTGTAAGTTCGCTGAGAATGTTTAAATTCTAAATGTGCTTGTTATACAATGCAGTTGTATAATCACATTTGGATCATCTGGATGATCACTTTATTACCAAATACAATCCAGAAGTCAAAACATATTATTGCCTGTATTTGCATTTGTTTTTACAACTGAGCTGATGCCAAGCCATGTTACTTTTATTGCCTGAGGCAATCCTAATATATAAATGATGCATCCCTATCAAGTGGAGGCCAAGCGGCTGTCAGCAGCAGCTTATATGGGTCTGTCTCCTATCTACCCTTTCCCCTGTTCTTTTTTCTGTCCTCTCCTATGTTGTTCCTGTCAATCAACAAATTGGGGAAGGAATCTGAACCCACAGGAATCCGGTCTAATGGTCAGCCTCCTCATTCCTGGCCTCACAGTACTCCTTTGAGCTCCTGAAGCTTGTTGTAGGGCAGATCCTGTGTTGTTAGCTCTGCTCTGTCTGCCAGGAAGGCCTTGCTCTCCCTGAGGTGATGTGTGTTTTACAAGTCACAGACTGAATGAAGGAGTGGGAGCTGGGAGTATGCATGGCCTGTTGTCTAGACTCTTTCAGGCAGTTCTTTGAAGCCCTCAGCAAGCATAACTCACTGGGCACAGCTGGGTGGAGCTAAGGAAAATGCACTAGAATCTTTCATGGAAAAAAAGAGAGAGTACTTAAGATAAACTCTTTAACTTTGATTTTCATTCTAGAAGACATTTACTAGGAACAAGACCTTTGATCCAGGTCACATAGTAAGGCATTTAAAATTTGAACCAGATTCATCGTGTAGACAATGGGGAAAAGGCGTAGTGGTTTATGACTTGAAGAAGAATCCTCAAAACCCTCAGAATGACTTAGTTTCTATAAGGTCTGTCCTAAGGACCGATTTCCTTCTCTTGGTCTGAGGCAATATTACCCAGGTTTTGCGTGGGAATCATGGCAGCAGCCTCCTGAGGCGACACACATTCAGTAAGGTCTCCATTGAAAGGGGTAACCACACTGTCTCCTCTTCTTTGTTGCATTTTTTCTAGCAGTTTGTCTAGGTCATCACCTATTACAAAATAAAGTGGACATAAGAAGGTTACAAGGAGTGATATGCTTGTGTCTTCGAGTTGGGTAGTTAGGCTGGGCTCCGATCAAGATCTGTTGCTCAGCCAGCAATTCACGTCAATGCTTACATCTGTCTATCTATGGACAGCAGTGTCTCTATAACAAGAGCCACCTTGCTGGTATCATGCCTCAATTTACATGCTTTCACACACTGTTGTCTCTCGTGACCTTCATAATTTTCAAAAGCAGCCAGAATGGAATGACTCTACCTTCATCTCTCATCAGAAAACCGAGATCCAGGGAGAGAGAGACTCGCCCAAGGTCACTCAACAAAGTAATGGCTGGCTGAGGCTTCTGACCCTAGTACCAATGTGCCTTCCTCTAGACCCCCTTGCTGCTTCCCGTGGTGTTAGCAATTAAATACTTAGAATAAACTTTCCAAATGAAAGATCAGTTGGCAAGTTTGAACTCCACACTCATCTCCTCGACAGGCTAAGATTTAAATTCAGAAAATCATGCAGCTAGAGGCTGGCAGTGTTGCCAAATCTTACAACCACTCACCTAATGACGTGGTTTTGAAATGTGATGCCAGGAAACTGACCTTTCCTGTGATGAGTTCATAACTAATTTCTTTCAAAAACTCACTTGTAGTGAGCATGCTCTCTGCCAGAGCACGGGACTGATGCTGACCTGCAGGACGGGGAGGGGGAGAAGAGATGACTCATCAACAGAACAAATGTTCACTGGAATGTTATTTATAACAACAACTGGAAACAACTAAAGTATGTAACGATGGAGAACTGGCTTAAGAAAATCAGGGCATGTCAAATCATGCATGTGGAAGACTATGCAGCACTTGAAATGCCAATTTGAGGACTATACACAGAAACAAAAAATGTTCATAATATAACACCAGTAATCAAGGAAAAAAATGATGCATTTTGTGTTTGTAACTGAATACATACACGTGCATGTTTCCCTGTGCCTCACAGGCTGACTACCCCCAGGTTGGGCCAGCTGGGCTGACATCCAGGGGCTGAGAATATGGGGTGGGGGGGAAAAATGGAATACCTAGAAATTGTGTTTGCATGGTTATTCTGAATATTGGTCTTAAAAAATACAACCTTATGCTGCAAAGTTGTTTTTACAGACAAAAACAGGAACAAATTTAATGTATCACACTGTCTGATGAAGTTTTCTGAAAAAAAAAAAAAAAGAGCTTTTAGCCTCTTTGCTAGGGAGAAGTGAGAGCCATTCAGTACAGAGAGGAGAGAAGCAAAATTTAATCTAAGTGCTTTCCCAAGATGGTGCCTGATAGAAAATGTGCATAGCATACTCACCACACAAAAACTCCCCATCTTATAACGTACCAATTTTCTGAACCGTTTCTTTATATAATATTAAATAGACACTTCAGTGAGGAGGGGAACCTAGGAGCTTAGTTTCTGGCAAATTTGATGAACTGGCTTAGGCCACCTGTGGCACTGTCTTTATCACATGCTAGAGTGGCAACATTTCTAAAACCTTTAAAGGGCGCAGTTACATGAGACAAGAGTATCTGTGACTAGTGTGAGCTTTGAAATAATGCTCCTACAACCAGCTGACAGGATATGAGCCAAACTGAGGGCTACAAAAATCTGATCTGAGGAGGAAAGGAAAAGTTAAAATTAGGAAGACGAACCCAAGATGGAGCAATTAACCAGAGGTTGACTATATAGATGCCTAAAGCACCCAATAAATCTTTTTTAAATGGGCAAATGGTTTAATGAATGGATTAAATAAACCCACAAAAACCAACACAATATATTACTTACCTAACACTACTACACAAAATTCATTTCCTCTGATTTTCGATGCACAAATTGCCACAACATAGTCTGGTAGCCTTTGATAGTGTCTCATTTCACTGAGTGTCCTCAAAGTCTCTGAAATGCCCTCTGCCAAAGAGTTTTGGGTCACAATCACATGAACCAAGTCTTGAGAGACACTGGCAATTAATCTAGCAAGCCAGGGAAGTTGTCCTGGTGACACAGGTACACACTGAGCACCTATCTGCAGGGCTCTCTCTCTCAGAGTAAATTCTTGCATAGCTTTCAGCATAATTTGCTCAAATTCTTCCCTGAGAGGTATCTGATCTGGACCTGTGTTGAAGAAAATTACAGCTAGAATTTAGAACATCACAGGCAGGAGAGAGAGACACACATCCACACAACATTCTGCAGTTCTAAATTTCCCATATTTCAACCGGCAACTAAGCTCTTTTTCCTGTAGTAACTCCAAGTACAGAGCCCCTGCTGACTATTTCCCACTGTGAGAATGCCTTGTCTTTTTTTTTTTTTCCCTGTTTCAATACTCAAAAAATTCAGCCTTCTATTCTCCTTTATTCTATTCCTGGTCTTACTTTAAAAGAGGATGTACTAAGAGAAACTATCAATTCCATTGTATGCCTTGGAGGTGGTCACCCATGATGGCATATTTCTTGACATATTAAGCCTGGAATTATGGAAATTGTTAACGATTAATGAAATAAGAAGCCAACTCCTGGTGTATAATTAACTCTGGGTTTCATTCTTTTTATTTATTTATTTATTTTTGAGTGAGAGCCTCACTCTGTCACCCAGGCTGGAGTTCAGTGGCACGCCCATGGTCGCCACAGCCTCAACCTGCTGGGTTCAGGAGATCCTCTCACCTCTACCTTTCAAGTAGCTGGAACTACAGGCGTGTACCACCATGCCCAGCTACTTTTAAAATTTATTTTAGAGACAAGGTGTCACCAAGTTGCCCAGGCTGGTCTTGAATTCCTGGGCTCAGGCAATACTCTTGCCTTCAACTCCCAAAGTACTGGGATTACAGGCATGAGCCACCATGCCCGGCTTCATTCATTTTTCATTTTGTTCATGGGTACTTCAAAAACATTTAAAAGTATGGCCTCCATACCTAATTTTGAGAATACTGTTCATAGGATAATTAAGTTTATTTTTCACTCTCAAGTTATATTTGAGGCAGCCTCATACCTTCCCCGGTTAGAGAATGCCTTCATCATCTAGTTATTTCCCAGCATTCTGGATTGTTAAATATGACATTCGGCGCTCTTCCCCAGCTGTGGTTAGGGCTAATCTTATATTGCTGGAATCAGAGGCATTTTGTTTCTTATTCTCTTTAGAAACCCAACTAGTCCTTAGAACCAAAATAATCAAGTCAATGTTTGGTATTCAAGTGACACAAATGAACTAAGTTCTCTACATTTAGTTCAAATTGAAACCAGTGAGAACATATTCACTCCCTCCATTCAGACATTTCTATTTTGCTGTGTGAACCCAAGATAAACTCAGTCTCTCGTAAACAGACTCAGACTCCTCAGGGTGATCTGAGACCAAGCAGTAGTCCCAGAAACTTAAGGCTAAAAGCCCCTTACAAGAGATACAGGATGAGGAACTGGATTTCTGTATGGGAAAGTGGCACCTTGAGTGAGTTTGGAATTATTCCTTTCTCTAATAGGGATGAATTTAAGTGGTTTCTCTGACCCTGTCACCTTTTCTGGGAGAGTAAGAAAATGAGGGGTTTGGGAATGTTTTTAAGACCAGGAAAGTTAAGTTAAATATCATACATTTTAAAAACAATTTTAATTGGAGAAAATTATTTTTCCAGCTTTGGTTAGGGGCCAGGGAGAGTTAGGAGAATAGAATCTTCATAGACATGGAAACAGGGCAAGAAAATTGTAGTGCTTACATTATGTTTATGTTTTTTATATCTTTCCCAGTCACTTGCTTGGGAAAGGAGGAAGGCTTTCTTTTTTATCACCTGGGAGCCACCAAGACTTTTAATCTTCAATCCAGCTTTATCAAATTAGCATAATGGTTAGTAGTCACTAGGTACACACTTAGCAGTGAACTCAAAGTAGATAGATTTATATTGACTGAATCAAATGAAGAGAAAGTGGTCATCTATTTAAAGCTTTCTTCCAGCAGAACACTTGACAACTCAAAAGCAGGTGGTCCTGTCTTGAATCCCCTACTGTCATTCATTGACAACCTGAAGGCTCAGAGGCCTGGTTAATAGTTGTGACAATAAGACCCACTCCAAACCAGGATTGAGTAACATGCTCTATTGGGAAGCCTAATTTATTCCAAATATAAAGGCATTCTGGAAAAACAAAATGATCAAACATGTTTACAACATTATCTGCTATCTTAAAATTCACTTTTTATAGAGTTTTTAAAAAAATTAAACTGCTGTTAGAAATTGAGAATTGGGGGAAAAGGCGTTAAAGTTTAAATGAGGTAAGAGAATTCTTAGCGTAAAATGACTTGCTTTGAATCAACTATCACTTTTTCATCCTTAGCCTTTATAGTTAAATTGCAGAAGCCTTTTCTCCACTTTTTGCAAGTTTGATAATAGTAATTTTTCCTTCAAGTGCTGATCTCCAGTAACTCAGTTTAGCCCAGGAGTCAGTTTTGATGGATTTTTGGATAGAGCTACCTTAACAGAAAAAAGACAAGGTTTTAACAGACTCAGAGTCCTCCAAGAATCTCTGGATTTGTGGATTTCATTATCTACTTCAAAAGATTTCAGATTGTGAAATAACTGAGTTTTCTTTTTTAAGTGACTCTAGTGGAAAAGTCTGTTCCTTCTGAGGAATTTTGTTTTTCTTCTTCTCTGTTATCTCTATATAATTGAGCCACTAAAGTATTAAAATTGTCCTTTAAGAAGTTTGGTTTAATTTTTTTAATACCTATAATCTATGGCATATGTAAAAATATTCTTGCTTCTTTCTCAAAATCTCCAGAGGCAAAAAAAAAAAAAAAAAAAATTTTTTTTTCAAGGACTCCAGAACAGTTATTGAGGGGCAAAGAAGTCCCAATGTACAAAGCTTAGATTAAAAAAAGAAAAAAATATAGAAATAGCTATTCATGTTGTACAATGAGAGACCTAATTGACAGATTGGAGGCAAAACTCTGGAGAGGATTGATCCTGTAGGGCAGGGAAGAGTTTGTATAATTAAATTGAGATTCTTCCTATTTTTTTAAAAGATAAGAGTTTTTAGCATCTTAAGGGGGAGACATTTTATTTTGACCACTTGGTTCATTTAGTTAACTTGGACTCGGATTTCTTAAAACTGTTATTAGGATTGAAAAAAATGCTATATTGATTGGCTTGATTGGCTATAATATCATTGTTATGTGAAGGCTTGCTTTACTGATTCTGGGTCATCTAAGAAGCTGGTTTTAGATCTTAGAGAACAGTTTACATGGCCAGTATGTAGTAATTAAAATTATGACATCAAATGAGTTGTAAAAAGGTGATTTTTATAATTTTATTACTCATCAATAAGCATAATTAGCAAGTCCTAGGTTTATCATGAAAGTGACTCTCATGGGAAATCTGAAGCCTTGCAAGTTTCAAAGGTCCATGTCAAAGCAGAACCCATGTCAAAGCAGCCTCTCAGGGCACTAAGAACCCTGGGCAAAGTTCCAAAGGCTGAATCTTGTCTAGTGAAGCTTAAAAAACTATTTAGTCCAGTGTCTTTTTAATTTCTTAACACTGCTGTATTTTCTAACATTAAAAAAAAATTCACAAGAGGACATGCAAAGACTTTTATGCATAATCTTACATCTTGAACATTTTTCTAAGTAAATCAGTCTTGAAGTCCTGCAGTAAGTATATAATTAGGCAGCACATTAGATGCAAACTACTGCAGTTTGCAAAATAAAGGACATTTCCATGTAAATGCTGCGGAACCAGTATAGCATTGTCAGGGCACCTGCATACACCCACTGTGGGGCTCAGGAGGATATAACAAATAGAGGAAGTGAAGAGTTCATGACCTATGTGTCCCCCTTACTCTAAAGTCTAGAGAACCTTCCAGAGAGGACCACAGTTATAATATCAATAAGGGAAAGTACAATGAAAATCCTTCAAAGGAATATAGCTGGAGAAGAAAAGAATGGGTGTAGGGGCAGTAGATAAGCAAGATAAAAAATAAATGGAAAACTGAAACATAACTGCTTAAGACAATTATTGTGTTTGCATTCCAGATGGTAGCTGCGCTTTCAGAAAAGTGGGCTGGCCAGACTTCCCAGGGCAAGTGGGCCTGAAGCAAAAGCCTTCAAGGTTCTGCCTACGTCGACTACTCTGGAGACCCTCGGAGCGTCCTGAAACTGGACACTAGGTGGAGCAATTCATCTCTTCTAGGACCCAAAGAAGCCAAGTGGAACAGAAAGGAGTACAAAAGAAATGGTGAGGACAGGAAAAAGTCACAGTGGACGGGGCTGAAGAAAAAGAACATAGAAATGAAAGAAGGAAAATAAGAAATAGAAGAATGGATGGAAAAAAGAAAGAAAAAAGTGTGTTACAAAAAAGAATAAAGCTAGTCACCAGAAAATAATTACTGAAATAACTTACCTAGCCGCACAAGATACTGTATCGTCAGAAGAATCATGTTTTCCACGCTCAGAAGCTGACTGCCGGTCAACCCTAATTGTTCCAAATCCTTGTTTTCCAGCTGTGGAATCTTGTAGCAATTCACCAGCAGAGGACTTACAACAATGTCACCAACATTTCCATAGAAATAGGGTAAAGTGCCATAGCCTGCCCCAATAGAAGCAGGTCAATACAGTTCAACATTTCTCTTTGAAGTCCAACCAGGTATACTTGCTCAAGCAGGATCAAAGATGCTTAACAAAATTCTCTGCCCTCTAAGATGGCTACCAAACAAATTATTCAAATATATCAGTTCTAGTGAATTCACTTAAATGCTACAAATTCTATTCCTATATCAAACCAGATGAACAAGAAGCAAAATACAGTTGGCCCTCTGTATCCAAGGGTTCTACATTCATGAATTCAACTTACTGCAGATAGAAAATATTCAGAGAAAAAAAATTCCACAAAGTTCCAAAAAGCAAAACTTGAATTTGCTGTGTACAGAGTACCACGTTGAATCCATGCAAATAAAGTGAAGAGTAGGCGTTATATTAGGTATTATAAGTACTCTAGAGATGATTTAGCATATATGGGAGGATGTGTGTAGGTTATATGCCAATATTGTGCCATTTCTATTGGGGTAGTAAAAATTGAGTATATACAATTTTGGTATTTGGGGAGGCTGGAACCAATCCCTCATGGAAACTGAGGGATGACTGTACTTGAATTATATTTTCTCTGTTTCCCAAAGAAGAAAAGTGTTAATATTATATATCTCTACCACAGAAGACTAATGAGTTTGCAAAATGTCTAACTGTAATGATGAGATGTTTTCTGATAAAGTTCCTGATTAAATTTTTCAGATAAGAAGTCAGAAAACAAACAAACTACAACACATGCTTCACTTCCTGCGGTTTTCTTGAAGGAAAAAAAAAAGCCACACTCATTGATCAAGATCAGGACTCTACTAGGTGCAGGTTTTTTGAGATTCCTACTCCTTTTGCTATCGAAGATATTTTTTCTTGGGTTTTCTTTTTAAATGTCAGTAAGCAGCATCTAATTATCTTAGAAGTAAATAGGATAAAAATATGTTGAAAATATGCCCTATTCTGGTGGTTGGTGGAGAGGACAGTCCTTCTATGAGACTTTCTAAAAGGCAGGCAACTAAAGAATCCCCATATTTTACGTATCTTTCCAATGCTTAGTTGTGCTATGCTAATGTTCAAAAAGAACTTCCTAAACCATATGGAATGTAAACCACAGGGATTCCCTCCAGTGCCTAGAGATCCAGGATCAGTAGATAGAGCAGCCTCGTAAAGGATAGGGCTCCAAGCAAAACAATGCAAGTAGGTAGGCTCAGGTCAACAAGAAGCAAATAACACTTCCCATAAACATACCCTGAAGACCTATGGAGCTTAAACATCCTGTTTGGTCCTAAAGGTAAAGCAGGCAGTTCCTGTTTGGCCTAGGCTAGCCCCAAAGCCAAGGGAATTCTTGATGTGGGTATGAAAAAGCACTAAGCCCTGGAATCTAGCGAATCCTAAATTTCTAAACCTCCACTTATACCACCTTAAAGATGCTGATTTGCAGATGTTGGCCCTTAGTTCAGACCAACAACTGTGCAGCCTCTTGGTTCAACTGACTGGGGTCTATTAGCTGGCTAAGCTTGCTTCTTTTCTCTGTTGTTTGGCTCCCTTTGATTGGAATGTCCCCTCCCCCATCCTGTCCATTTTTACTCACCCTCCAGAACCCAGCTTAAACATCACCACTGAGAAGTCTTCTCAGACCCCTCCAGGCAGAGGTAAGCCCTCTTTCCTCTGAACTCTTGTTGCTCTTGGTTGTGAATCTCTATGGAGCTCACATATCACAGTGTGTTGTAATGGTTATCACAGTGTGCTGTAATGATTATTTACTAACTCCAGTAGCTAGTGGGAGGTCAGACTCCCTCACTAAACAGAGCTCCTTGAGGGCAAAAAGACTGCCTTATTCTCAACTTATAATCACATGTTTAATGTAGCATGAAGGAGCTGACCAGTAAGAGCTGAAAGAATCAACAGATGGATAAATGAATACCTTCATGAATACATAAATAAACACACATACAATGAAATGGAGAAACACTCCAGAAGACAAGGGAACTTGGGAATTCCTTTGCCTTACCTATCAGAATTACTGGTCTAACTCCTGAGTTACTCAGCAGGTTTTCAGGAACAATTACAGTTTCGCCTGCAGGAATGGGCCGAGGTTGTAAAATTCCAGTCAGTGGGGTCTGTGGAACTGGAGTAGTTAAAAGGGGATCTGGAAAAAAAAAGTTGTTTGACAAGAAGAATTAGGTGTGAAAGTTAAATCAAATATAATGGAAAGCAATGCAGTTTTAATACTTTTAACAGAGAGGTTTTAGAAGTCTTATTAGTCTTATTTTATTTTATTAATTTGTGTTTATTATATAAGATTAGAAATGAGAAAAACAAAAGAAAGGAAAAAAATCAGCCATAATCACATCATCTGGAGATAACTACTATTTAGCATTTTGGTAGTTTTCCTTCCAGTTGTTTTTTCCACATGCAATCTTTTGCATTCTTTTTTATTTTATCTTTTTCCCTCAGGTTATCAAAGGCATATCTGATCATTATATAAATTTACTGGGGGGGGGGAAGAGGCAAACGAATACCACTACTGGCAAAAGCATGTCCATTTGTGCCCTGTGATGGTGTCCTATATGAGGAACAACAGTTCATCAATGTTACAGACTATGCTAGTGGTTGAATTCAGATCAGTTGTGATGATACATGTGCTTGTGGGGAAGGCGGACACAAAGAGGACAAAATATTAGTTTATCTACTGTCAATATTCTCACATAACACTGGATAATTATATGGTTAAGGAAATTTATCTTTAAGCATTCAGGGAAAGAACAGGAGTAAAAGATATCTCTACTGACTCAAAAAACATAAAGTCTTCTGTTGAGATCTTACCAGTTCTTGAAACAGGGCGAACTGTGGGAACAGGTACAACTAAACCAGGTTGGGGGACAGGAGACCCAGGATACCATCCCCGGTGTCGTTTCTTTGGTGGCCCGGAAAAGAACATGGTAGCTAAAGATAAAAATAAAGATAGCCTTGTTTTCAGTCACTTGGAAAAAAGGAAAAAAATGCCAAAGTAATACAGAACTTTTAATTATACTCAGAAAGTCTAAATAACCTTTTAACAGATAAAGTTATAATAAGAAAAGCCATACCAACAATCTAATATCATACAAACAACCACCTAACATCTGTATGTTGTCTTAAAATTCACAGTTTTACCCATATTATTTCATTTGATTATCCCTGTGGCGTTGTAGGACGAGTATTGTTGTTATACCTATTTGCAGATAGAGAGAGGAAGGCTCAGATTTGCCCAGGATTACACAACAGAAAAGAACTTTCAAATCCTCTACATTGGTCAGTAAAACTCATGGTTTTTCAAGACACTTCCTGGTACATTTGTTTCAACAGTATTTGCCAGTTAGGCTTAAACACGTAGAATCATGGGATGAGAATAAACTCAGAATCATTACTATTCATACCAATCATAAACTTCCAAAAATTATATGACAAGCTAAGGAAAAACTCTAGTGTGTGCTGTCAGAGAATTAATCAATCTAAAATCTGTAGCACTTCTACCATAATTAAGTACGTTATTTTATTCTAAGATGGGCATTGTACCTTGGTCTCCTGATGCATAGCTAGGTCTTGGTGACAAAGAGTAATTCCCTGGGCGGACTGGAGTGGAGCTGGATGCACTGCTCTTCCCACCATGGCTACTGTTTCCATTAGCAGCATCTATAGAACACGAGAAAAGAAGAAGAGGAACGCTCAGAACAGAGGCTGGGCAGGACACTGCTTTCTGTGATGTTGCAACCATTTGATAAATATTATACCCTGGGATTCAAAGGAACCTTACAGATAAGACTCATCTCATTGTATGAAACCAACTAGCCCTCAGAGGACTACCTTCATTAAAATTAAATGTTACCTACAAATAATTTCCTAGGACCGTAAGAAATCTTTTGGAATAATTTTCAATGAAGTCTTTGGAGATGGTAGGTAGGAGGAAGGGAAAGAATTTTTTTTTAAACTTTGTATCATGGAAAGTTTCAAATATATACAAAAGGAGATAGAATAATATAATAAATATGTATATACCCACCACACAGTTTCAACATTTATTAACACACAGCCCACCTTGCTTCATCAATACCTTGTACCCCTTTCCCCATACATACATACATACTCTGGATTATTTTAAAGCAAACCCATTTATCATTTCATCCACAAATGCTTCTGTATGTTTTTCTAAAAGAAAAAGACTCTTTACAAGACTTAATATCATTATTATACTTAAAATTAACAATCATTGATAATTTCTTAATATCATCAAATATCCCATCAGTATTCAAATTTCTCCTATTAGCTCAGATTTGGTTTTTCACAGTTGGCTTGTTCAAATTAGAATTCAAAACAGAGCTACCCACCGAATTTAGTTGCTGTGTCTCTTAAATCTCTTTTAATCTATAGGATTCTCCTCTTTTTTTATTTCTTTCTGAAATTAATTTTTTTTCCAAAAATCTGACAGAATTTCCCATTTTCTGAATTTTGTTGATAGAATTCCCACATTGTAATTTAACATTCCCTTGACCCCTGTATTTCTAATAAACTAATTGCTAGATATAGAGGTAGTCAAATTCAGGATCAATTTTCTTTTTGACAAGAGTATCTCATAAATACTGTTGTATGCAGAACTTCTATCAGGAGGCACACGATGGCCAGCTTTCCCTTTTCTTGTGATGTTAAGATTGATTAGTGTGTTTGAGAATTGTCAGCCTAATCCTTGGCATTATAAAGTTGTTCAGCCTTTCGCCTGATGGTCTTATTAACCATGACGATTACTGATCTGTTACTTCATTGGCTATTTTAATGCTGTAAAAACTTGATCTCATTTGTTCAAGTCTAACTAGAAGGTGGATCTTGCAAGAATTGTTGGAAGAACAAAAGTGGGCGCATAAATTATGTTGCCTAACTATTGACAAGCTTTCAAAAGTGAAAGGCTCTCTTTCTGCTCATGGTTCTATCTCTCTTACAATTTCTTCTCCTTGAGCACTGGACTTTTCTAGGATTCTATCTTTAGTTCCCAACTTTCCTCTCCTCGGCTGATACTATTTACCCTGATGACTTAACTGTATGTTAGTGGCTCAACTCTATACATCAGTCCTGGTTTTTCCCTGTGATAAATTAAATGGCTATTGTTGAACAGCCCTGTGTGAATGTCTTATGGCTATCTGAGACTCTAAGTGTTCAAAATCAAACACACAATGTCTTGATGGAGAACCTGATCCTCCTGTATCCTCTGTCTCAGGTGATGGCACCACTATTAGCTCAGAAAGATTAGCTCAGAAAGATGGATGTCACTGGAGACCTCTTCTCCTTGACACTCACATTAGTAAGTCCAGTCTTACTGGCTTTACCTCCCGAGTAGTTCTCTAATTTGTCTTCTCCTCTCCCACCTATTATCACTCTAGTCAAGGACCTCATCATTTCTTACCCAGTCAACTGAAATGATCTCCAACTAGTTTTCCTACCACGTGTTTTCTTCTTACACACTGCTGCCAAAACGATCCAGTTCAAGTTCAAATCTGACATGCTGCTGCCAAAACAATCCAGTTCAAATGCAAATCTGACAGTGCCATTTCTCTGCTCTGTAAGTTTTAGCGTAAAACTCATGCTTCTTAGTCTAGCCTTCCATTAATTTTCCCTTGACCACCACTTGCTTACCTCCTGCTCCTCCCTGAGTTTTATATTGTATACTTCTAACAAGTACAAACTGCTGGAAGTTCCTGCATATATCATGTTGTTTCCCTCTTTCCTTTCCCCTCTTTTACTTTTAAGCTTTGTTCCTGCTATTCCCTAAATTTGAAATGTCCTGCTTTCACTCTTTTGTATAGTGAATATCTCATTGTCAAAGTCTGAGCTCCCTTAAGACTCATTCTTGATTACTGCCTAAAATGTTAGGCTAAAACTCCCTGCTCTGTGCTCCTCTAGTATATTGTCACATTTGTTGTAGTACACTAAAATATCTTGTCAGGCCAGGTGTGGTGGCTCACACCTGTCATCCCAGCACTTTGGGAGGCCAAGGTGGGCGGACTGCTTGAGTCCAGGAGTTCGAGACCAGTTTGGGCATACCTAACCTTTTATTTTTATTTTTTGTAGAGACAGGGTTTAATGTAGTGAAACCTTGTCTCTACAAAAAATAAAAATAAAAAGCTGGGCGTGGTGGCATGCGCCCGTAGTCCCAGCTACTAGGGATGTTGAGATGGAAGAATAGTCTGAGCCCAGGAGGTCGAGGCTGCCGTGAGCCATGATCATCACGATTGTGCCACTGCACTCCAACCTGGGTGACAGAGTGAGACTCCAAATAAAAAAAAAATATATATATATTGTCAGAGATCCATCTCTTCCACTAGATTACAAGGACTTAAGGGGTCAGAGATTGAGTCTTATTTATCTGTGTATCCTCAGTTCTTAGTCACAGCATGTACCCGGGAAATGTTTGTTGAATGAAATGAAATTGCTGTGTCTCCTCCGTGTGTTAAATATTATTTCCTGAATCTTTTGATTAGAACATAGAGAACAGTAAACTTTGTACAATAATGCATTATTATAGACACCCCCTACTTCTATCTTCAATTGACAGGTAGAAGCAGCTTCTGTTTTATTAGTTCATCAATTAAATATCATACAAGTCTTTTATAGACTATGTATTTACCCAAGAAATATAAGTGAGGAAAACATCACCTGCAGTAAAAGTCTTCCCTACACCCTGCAAAGATAAAGCCAGTGGTTTCACAACATTCTTATTCCGGGTCAGGTCCTGAGCTCCACTTAAATTGATTGCAGAATTAGCTGGACTGAGAACCGGCGAATCTTTAAAATGAAAGAGGTTATTTAAATTAGCAACTATTTATATATGCAGGAAGGAAGTTAATTCAACAAGAGTTGAAAAAAAACATTACAAAATTTCAGTTCTTTCCTTGAACTATTCTGACATTTAAGAAAGTCAATTTCCATGTATTCAGGTCTTATTATTTTTTAACTAGAAGTTAGTGTGTACTGGGTGGTATTTTAAGCACTTTAAATATATTAATTCAATTGATCCCTATAATGACTCTGTGAGGTCAGTAAAACTACCTTAAATAGTAGTAGTCATTTAACTTAGTCAAAGTCAGATGACCTGGCATCAAGAATATAATTATGCTACATATCAAAACTGTCTCCACATTTTACCTCAAAGCCATATTTTTTTTTTGAGTTGGAGTCTCACTCTGTCATCCAGACTGGAGTGCAGTGGCTGCTCCTGGCCACCACAGCCTCGACCTGCTGGGCTCCGGCGATCTTTCTGCCTCAGCCTTCCAAGTAGCCGGAATTACAGGTGTGCATTACCACGCCCGGCTGATTTTTGATTTATTGTAGAGATGAGGTCTCACCAAGTTGCCCAGGCAGGTCTCGAACCCGCAGGCTCAGGCAATCCACTCACCTCAGCCCCCCAAAGGCGTGGGACTACAGGCTGAGCCACCGAGCCTGGCTCAAAGCCATATTTTAATGAGATTTATTTATCTTTATCTAGATAAGTTTGGAATTTAACAAGTGTTATGCAAACTAACTCATTACAAACTAGGAGAAAGCATTTTTCCCTGAAAAAAAGTTGCTTCATTTTTTTGAATAAATGGGAATTAATTTACTGCAATATCAGCTACAACCAAAAGAAAGTTTCTATTTGGATTCAGAAAACAATTCAGTCCAGAAAAACCACATGCTATTTCAGAGACAGGCTGTGGGAAAGATAAAGACTAAAGCCAACTGGAGTTTTCCAAAGTGATTAGACACGTGAAATTCTTGACTACTCCAGCAGAACAGCTAGATAAGTTAACACAGGAAGTGTTGAAAGGAATTGTTAAGACTCTGAGAGTCTGAACAACAGAGTTACTTTAGACATTATCTAAAAAAGTATTCATACTACAACATGATTGCTGATTCATCTAATCACTGTTTCTCAAAAGAACTCAAAAGAATGAAATGGCCCCCTACTGGTTTGGAAGAGTCAATGTGCCTGAACACCTGATTTACAACCTGTAAGTGATTTTTTTGTTTGTTAGTTTTTGTTTTTTGAGTTGGAGTCTCACTCTGTCGCCCAGACTGGAGTGCAGTGGCCGCTCCCAGCCACCGCAGCCTCGACCTGCTGGGCTCTGGCGATCCTTCCGCCTCAGCCTTCCAAGCAGCTGGAATTACAGGCATGCGCTACCACACCCGGCTGATTTTTAAAATTTATTGTAGAGATGAGTTCTCGCTGCCCAGGTGGGTCTCGAACCCGCGGGCTCAGGCAATTCACTCACCTCAGCCTCCCAAAGGCGCGGGATTACAGGCTGAGCCACCGAGCCCGGCTCCGTGAGTGATTTTAAGGTCTACTGCAAGAATAGAGGCTAGCAAGTACACATATAACTTCACAATGTTGCAGGAAACTGAAGGAGGTGTAAGTTTTTCACTCTGTATTTTAACAGAGAGCCTTACAGGACAGGAATTCCAGCCAAGTTTGCTGCCATTACACAAGTTGGCCATGATGTTTCAGTCATATTGTTTGGAACAAGACTAGTAGTTTATTATACTAATTTATACCTATAATTTTAGCATATCCCCAACATGAAGAGTGGAATTCATCTTGTATTTTCAAACCAGTGAATTTAAATGAGTACAGACCAGTGTTTCAAAAATAATGAGAGGGTAAAAAATGAATGTTCAGAAATAAATATTCATATATATAAACAACAACCCATAGTTAGATTAAATGCCTAAAGTTTAATAAGAAACATACACAACTATATGAAGAAAATTGTATAATATTTCTAGACATAATATCTGGGCCCTGTCTTAAAATACTAAAGGAAGGAGGAATAAGATTAAATAATAATTGCCTTGTGTTGATAATTATTGAAGCTGGGTGATAGATCCATTGTGGTGGATCAATATATTATTCTCCATATTTTTATATATTTGAAAACTTTTATTTTTATTTTTTAAATTTTTTGACAAGTGTTTATGACTTTCTATTTTGCACTTAACATTTTTTATTTGAAAACTTTTATTAAAGATTTTTTAAATGAAAAGAAAATGTCTGAAGATTATGAAAACAGATCTGAACAAATGTGAAGATATGCCATATTTCTGAGAAGAAATAGTCAATGTTAAAAAGATGTCAATCAACCTTAGTTAATTTACAAATTTATGTGATCCTAGGAAAATATCAACAGGTTTAGATATTATTGTAATTATTATATTGTTTTAACCAGGCAAACTGATTTAATATTGAGATAAACAATTAGACAAGAATAGCTAGAAACATTCTAAAATGTAAGAGAAATAAAGGGAGACTAGCATGAAGATATAGCAAGATATATTATATAAATCTCAGTAAATAAAACACAATGATCTTGGTACAAGTAGAACACTGGAACAAAAAAGACAGTAAGAAATAAATGTAAATACACATGAGAATTTAGTACAAAATAAAGGAGAAGTCCAAATCAGCAGTCAAGATGAACTCAATAAATTGTGTTGAGGCAATTGTATGTATAGGAAAAAATTAAAATTGTACCCACATATTACACCAAGAATCAAACAAGAGCAAATGGACCAAAGATATAAACTTAGAAAACATAAAAATAATGGGAGAAAACATGGGATAATTATCACCTTGATATGAAAAAGGCCAAACTATTACTCAAAATACAAAAGCCATTTGAAAAAGACTGATAAATTCAGTCACATTAAAAAAAATTCTGCATGGTAAAACACACTATACCCATGCAAACCATAGCCAGAAAGAGAGCTGTAGTATCAATACTTAAGTCAAAAAATATTACTAGAATGAAAAAAGGACATTTTATTTTATTTATCTCATTTTTAATTTTATTTATTTATTTTTCTTTAGTCAACGTCTTGCTCTGTCACCAAGCTAGAGTGCAGTGCATGATGATGGCATACTGTAATCTCAGCCCCCTGGGCTCAGGTTTTTCTCCTACTTCAGTATCCTGAGTAGCTGGGACTACTACAGGCACGTGCCACCCCATCTGGCTAATTTTTAAAAATTTTCTGTAGAGACAAGGTCTTGCTATGTTGCCCAGGCTGGCCTCAAACTCCTGGGATCAAGGGATCCACCCACCTCAGCCTGGCAAAGTGCTGAGATTACAGGCATTAGCCACCATACCTGGCAAAAAAGGATAATGATAAAAGGGTCAATCCATTAGAAAGGCATAATTATAAGCATATATGCACCTAACAACAGAACCCCAAATGCATGAAGCAAAAATGGACAGAACTGAAGACAGAAACAGCTATTTAATAATAATGGTTGGAGACTTCAATACCCTACTTTCAATAATGTATTGAACAACCAAGGAGAATATCATCAAGGATATAGAAGACTTGCACAATACTATAAACCAGTTAGACGTAACTGACACCAATATAACATTCCCCAACAAAAGCAGAATACACATTCTTTTCAAGGGCACAAGGAACATTCTCTAGAATAGACTATGTTAGGTCACAAAACAAGCCTCAATAAACATCAAAGAATGAGAAATCATAATATATTCTCTAACTTCAATAGAATCAAATGAGTAATCAATAACAAGAAAATCTGAGAAATTCACAAATATGTGAAAATTTAATGATGCACTCTTAAACAACCAGTGGATCACAAGGGAGATTATATGTCACTTTAAGATAAATGAAAATTAAACAACATATAACAACTTATGGAATGCCACTAAAGAAGTACTTAGAGGGAAATGTATGGCTGTAAATGCCTATACATTTCCAAGTCAATAACCATAAGTAACTACAAAAAGAAGTACAAACTAAAGAATAAAATCATGGAAGACCCCAAGTCAATAACCATAAGTAACTAGAAAAAGAAGTACAAACTAAAGAATAAAATCATGGAATTCGCAGTAAACTGGATAGAATTGGAGACCATCATACCTAGTGATCTAGCACAGAAACAAAGAACTGAATACTGAATGTTCTTATTCATAAGTGGGACCTGAACATTAACCACATTTGCAAAAGGGAGGGATCGGCAGTGATGGACACTGCCAGGGGAGGGAAGGAAGGGAAGGAAGGGGCAAGTAGCATCACAAAGGGTTCCTGGTCCTAAACCGGGGGAAGTGAGGACCAATTGGAGGTCCAAACTTCACCTGTACGCAGCCTGCTTGTGTAGCTAATCCTGACTTATACCCCACATATCTATTTTTCAAAAGTACAAACTAAGCCCAGTGAAAGCAGAAGAAAATAATAAAGACTAGAGCAGAAATTAATGAAGTAAGAAATAGAAAAAGTGGTGAAAAATCAACAAAACCAAAAGTTTGTTTTCTGACGAATCTTTAGCTAGATGGACAAAAAAAGAGGATGCAAATTACTAAGTTAGGAATAAAAGAGAGGGCATCACTGTCAATCTTAAAGAAAAAAATATATAAGTAAATGCTTTGAACAATTGTATGCCATTGTTATAGACTGAATTGCGTCTCCCCAGAATTCATAGGTTGAGACCCTAACTCCCAGAATGTGACTATATATGGAGATAAGGACAAAGGCCTAAACAATATGACTGATGTCCTTATACAAAAAGAGACACCAGGGATGCACATGCACAAAGGAAAGGCCTTGGAAAGACACAGCAAGAAGGTGACTATCTGCAAGTCAAAGAGAAAAGCCTCGGGAGAAACCCATCTTGCCTGCATCTCAACCTTGGACTTCTAGCCTCTAGGACTGTGTGAAAATAAATTTCTGTCGTTTAAAACACCCAGTCTGTGGTATTTTGTGATAGTAGTCCTAGCAAACTAATACAGCCATCAAACTAGATA